ACAGGCCGTCGCCAGCCTGCGCGTGGCGTCAGGCTCTCACGCCCACCCCCGCGGAAGCGGAAGTTGATCCGCCCCGGAAGGCTCATTGAAACGAGCTGCGACCCTGTGCGGGGCGCCGCCTTGGCTGTAGACAGAGACTTGGAGTAGACAGTCTCTTCCCTCAAGGGGCGACCCTGCCAACTCTCACCTTCAATAAACCTCGTACTTAAGTTTTTGTTCATATGTCTATGTGTATCTTTACAAAAGTTACCTTTTTGAAGACTTGGGACAGTTCTCCACTTTAATGCATGAAGCAATTTGAAATTGAGTGATTTACCGAGCTCACAAGTCTAGGAAGTAGAGAAAACAAAAATCAGATTGCCAGCCCAGAGCCCTTTCCATCTTCCCTGAATGCCTGTCAAACTTGGGGGGCTCGGCTCCTGCACGGTGCCTGTGTATATCCGGCGCTCAGTAAATATTTGCTGAATGATTCAGCTGTGTCTGTGGTCAGAAACCATTATTTGTAGTTGTCCATAACAGCCTCCTAAAAGATCAGGAATGCGGCATCTTCGGTCGCGTTATCCACATCTTAACTCTTTGCAAAGTAAAAGGAATGTGTAATGACGCCTACTGATCTCCTAAATCCACCTGCTTGCTTCCAGAAGCAGCTTCCAGTTTACTAAAGTTACTGTGTTCTAAAATAGACCTGAGTATTGGGCTGCTTCTTGGGAGGTAAGACGGGTGAGAGCAGTATGTGTTAATTGTTCATTTTTTGAGAAGAGGATTCAAAACTTTTCTTCCAATTTCCAAAAGGGGTCTGTTACACTAAAGAAAAGTCTCCATAGGGAGTTTGAGAGGGTGTCGAGATACTCATATTTCTCTTTAAGTCATTTGATCAACAGCCATTGATGAAGATATATTTTCACAAACTCCTTTAGTAACTCAGAACACTATTCATAACACCAAGGTATGTACCCTCTCTCTGTAAAGCCTAGGTCTATAGTCAGTTCAAGAAACACCTCTCCATCCCCAGCTGTTGACAGGCTTGTCATGCAGCCCTGTTCACTAGGCAGTCTCCCTCATCTTGTTTTCAGATCCTGCTAGGCCAGTTACTCCCACTGTCTTTACAGGCATGCCCCATACACGGATATTTCAGTCAATGCCTGAACACATATATGATAGTGGTCCCCTAAGATTATAGCAGAGCTGAAAGATTATTCCCTAGTGACATGGTAGCTTTTGTAGTGTTATCCTATACAATAATGCACAATGCATTACTCAGTGTTTGTGGTGATGCTGGTGTAAGCAAACCTACTGAACTGCCAGTCTTATGAACATACTAGAAGCCCGATGCACGAAATTTGTGCACTTTGGGGGGGGGGTCCCTCAGCCTGGCCTGCACCCTCTCGAAATCTGGGAGCCCTCAGGGGTGTCTGAGTTGGACATCCTTAGCGCTGCCGCAGAGGCGGGAGAGGCTCCCGCCACTGCTGCTGCACTTGCCAGCCGTGAGCCTGGCTTCTGGCTGAGTGGCACTCCCCCTGTGGGAGCGCACTGACCACCAGGGGCAGCTCCTGCGTTAAGCATCTGCCCCCTGGTGGTCAGTGCATGTCATAGCAACCAGTCATCCCTTACTCAGTTGATTTGCATATTAGCCTTTTATTGTATAGGATAACACAGCCTGGCAAGTATGGCTCAGTGGTTGAACATTGATCTATGAACCAGGAGGTCGAGGTTTGATTCCTGGTCTGGGCACGTGCCCAGGTTGTGAGCTCAATCCCCAGTGGGAAGCATGCAGGAGGCAGCCAATCAATGATTCTCTCTCATCATTGATGTTTCTCTTGCTCTCTCCCTCTCCCTTCCTCTCTGAAATCAATAAAAATGTATTTTTTAAAAGTATACCACATACAATAATGTACAGTAGGTAATACTTGATATTAAGTGACTGTTACTGGTTTATGTATTTATTATACTACTAGAGGCCCGGTGCACGAAATTCGTACATGGGTAGGGTCCCTAGGCCCAGATGGTGATCAAGGCCTATTGGGGCCATCTCACCCAGTCCCAATCGGGGCTAGCCAGACTGGGCTTGCTGGACAGGGCCTGCCGGATGCGGGGAGGGACTGGGGGAGGTTGGCTGGCCATGGGAGGTTGGCTGTGGGAGTGCACTGACCTCCAGGGGCCAGCTCCTGTGTTGAGCATCTGCCCCCTGGTAGTCAGTGCGCATCATAGCATCTGGTTGACCTGTTGTTCCGGTTGTTCAGTCGTAACCGTCACTTAGGCTTTTATATATATAGATACTTTTTTGTTTTTTATTTTATTTTTATTATACCATACTTATATATTTCTGGGAGGATATACAAGAACTTACTAAAAGTAATTATCTGAGAGTAGTGGGACTGGTGGTTGGGGATTATGTAAAGAAGATTTTGTTTCTTTTTTAATAAGAACTATTAATTATGATTATTAGTGATAGCTAACTAATACTTTTTTTTAAAAGAAGGGAAGAATATAATCCTCCTTTTCTTCCTAGGTTTTCTGTGCTGCTGCATGGAAGCTAACTAAAATTAATTTGATTAAAGTGTTTTTACCCCATGAGGAAAAACACACTATAGTACCCCTGCTAAAACATCACACTATACCCCAGAAGTAAGATGGACAAATATGGACAGTTCACAAAAGAGAAAATTCATTAGGTAATAAACACTTAAAAACAATATCTACTTCATGAGTATCAGTGAAATCTAAGTTAAAATATAATTAACTAATAAAAGAACTTATTTAAGAATCCTGATTAAACATACTTATATAAAAAATTAACAAGTTCTATCAGAGGCTGGAGTAGGGGAGGATGGGGAGTTATTATTTAATAGGTACAGGGTTTCAGTTTGGAATAATGAGAAAGTTCCAGTATGAATGTACGTAATGCCACTGAATTGTACTTTTAAAAATAGCAACTGGCCAGTGTGGTTCAGTTGGTTGGGCATTGTCCCAATGCACCGAAGGGTTGTCAGTTCAATTTCTACGTATGTTTCACTCTCAGTTTCTCTCTCTGTCTCTCCCTCTCCTTTCCTCTCTCTAAAAATCAATGAAAAAAATATATATTTTAAAGGATCCACTCTGATCTTTGTTATTTTCTTCCTTCTACCAACTGTGAACTCAGTTTATTCTTCCTTTTCTAGTTCCTTGTGGTATAAAGTTGGATTGTCTATTTGAGAGCATTTTTTTTTCTTAAGGTAGGATTTTATTGTATAAGTTTCTCTCTTAGAACTGCTTGCTTTATCCCACAAGTCTTGGTATGTTGTATTTCCATTCTCATTTATCTCAAGATATATTTTGCTTTCTCATTGATTTCTTTGACCCATTGATTGTTCAGAGCATGTTGTTTAATCTCTGCATATTTGTAAATTGTCCAGTTTTCTTCTTAGAATCAATTTCTACTTTCATATCATTGTGACTAAAAAAGATGCTTGATAGATAAGGGGTCAATGCGGGGAAAGGGGAACATATGTAATACTTTCAACAAATAAAGATTTAACTTAAAAAAAGATGCTTGATAGTATTGCAAAATTCTTAAATTTATTAAAACTTGTTTTGTGGCCTAACATACGATATATCCTGGAGAATGCTCCATGTGTGCTTGAGAAGGATGTGTGTTCTGATGCTGTTGGATGCAATGTTCTGTAAATGTCTGTTAAGTCCATCTGGTCTAACATGTCATTTAAGTCCAATGTTTCTTTATTGAGTTTCTGCCTGGGTGATCTATCCATTGCTGAAAGTAGGATATTGAAGCCCCCTACTATGTGTTGATGTCTATTTCTCCCTTTTCAGCTATTATATTTGCTTCTTATATTTAGGTGCTCCTATATTGAGTGCATACATATTTACAAATGTTATATTCTCAATGAATCGATCCCTTTATCATTATAGAATGACTTTCTTTGTCTCTTGTTGCGGTCTTTGGCTTAAAGTCTATTTTGTGTGATATAAGTATAGCGATACCTGCTTTCTTTTGGTTTCCATTTGCATGGCATATCTTTTTCCATCCCTTCACTTTCAGTCTATGTGTGCCCTTAAAGCTGAAGTGAGTCTCTTATAGGTAGCATATGTGTTTTTTTTTAATCTATTCAGCTACTCTATATCTTTTGATTGGAGAAAAAAAAAATTTTTTTTAAGGTACTTCTGTCCATATGTTAAAAGGATATTCAAGTACTCTTTATATTTCTGTGTTATGTTTTAGTTTGGGCCTAGACTAGGTAAATAATGCATGTGGTAATAAGAATTCATTGCCATTAACTTAATTAAATTAAATAAATTAGTTTAATTAAATAAATTAGTTTTTAGCTTTCAGACATGAACCAAATACTGAGGGCCAGAAAGGAATGCAAGACTACGAAGCAATGAGGACAGGGACTATATCTGTCATGTTCATTATTATACGTGCAGTGCCCAGGATAGCACCTTGTAAGAGAAAGTGCTCGGTACATTTTTATTGAATGAATAAATAGATAAATGAATGGATGAATAAGCAAGACACAGTCCCTACTCCAAATTAGCTCATTTATTTATTTATTTTTTTAGAAAGGAGAGAGACATCGATTTGTTGTTCCACTTATT